CAGGGGTCTGGTGGAGGACTCAGGGGTCTGGTGGAGGACTCAGGGGTTTGGTGGAGGACTCAGGGGTCTGGTGGCGTAGGTCGAGAAAACCGAGTGGTTGATAGGCAGATCTATGGATATCCACATACGCCCTACGCCGTACACCCCTCCCCTCTCACTGGATAGCCTGAAACTCCTTTCTGGTGGACCCCACTGACAACCAAAAAAAAGAAAAGGACCGACATGGGCCGACCTTTGCAGAGTGTACCCCGTTTGCCTCTATCCACATTTAAAACCTTTCTTGGAGAACGGGTGGAATACTAGTAGTAAGGCCAGGAGCCCCGTTCGTAGCGTCCTTTTGCTCCTAGTGGCGATGAGGGAGTGAGTAGAAACTGCAGGAGTCCGTGAATAGAAACTGCTTGCTCCCCCAGGTGGTCAGCCCCAGAGTCACCCCAGAAGGTCTCAGATGTGTTTTTTTCTATAGGGATGAAATTGGTGGGAGGTGAAGAAGGTGTTTTTTCATTTCCAGTTCATGGACCTGCGATTTTGAAGGAGCTGGCAGTTGAAATCCCCAAACAAACAGCTGCTCTCCTCTGGAACTGGTTCTGGTTCGACATTCTGTTCATGCTATTTTCCACCCGACAACTGGGTTAGTTCCCCCCAGCTCACTCTGGACTGAAACAACATTGAGTTCAGAACAGGATGGCTTGGTCTACAACGCGATGGACGGTGCCAAGAAGCTCGGCCACTTGGTTTGAACACCAAGCCCTGCCAACAGGGAGCCGGGTTGCACAAAGAATGTCGGCTCAGTACCTTGACAGTCAGCAATTCACTTGCAAAAGTTGTTTCGTTGCGGAGTTCCCGTTCAAGAGAGCCTGAGTACAGTAGAAAAGATTTTGAAAGCGGAAGAAGGACCCAAAACATGCTCGACCCTGCAAAATCAGGGTCTGAAGTCCTAAGATATCCCAAGATCAAAGCCATTCTGGGAATAGGAATCCTTTGAGGTTCTTGGGCAGGTCGGGGTTCTTACTTCGGATGGGATGCTGCTGGCCCTGGGACTTCTATGCTATCTCAATAGGTCGAGCATGCCCCATACGAGGCTTCAAAGCAAGCAGCGCTTGGTTTTGGGAACCTGGAGCCCCGTGGCAAGTTCGATGTGTTCGCTCTGTTGGCTCCATACTGTAGCACTTTTCCCTGGCGTTATTCCCATTTCTCCCCGCAGCCTTTTCCGAAAGTTTCGGATAGGCCACAAATTAGTGCTCCCACCGGACGTGCGAACCAGCCACAGCTGTTCTGGATCTAGCGCCTAGCTGGATAGATGTAGGACTGACTATACGACTCCACTTGCACTTGCCCTTCATGCTGTAATTGTGGTACCTTAGGCATTACTGCGGACGAGATGGGCAAGAAGTACGATGCTTGGCTGATTGAGCTGGGGGAAGCAACGAGATCTATTCTCAAACACTCCATGCATGCCGTATAATTATGCCTACATTGACCCCTCAAACCACCCCAATGTAAGCATATACGGCATACATGGAGTGTCTGGGGATTGTATCGTCTTTGGTGACGCTTGGTAAGCGGAGGTCTGGTCGACACAGTGCCAAGGAGGCAATGGCCGATTGCGCATTGCGAGAGCAATATCCTACTGTATAAGCACAGTTGCTACTGCAACAGGCTGCCCATACAAGTGCAATAAAATTTTGATTATATATCCTTCATCGAACATGTTTGCTTCGGCCACAAAAGATCATCTGTCCACCACAATGACAGCACATGATTAGTTTATATTAGTTTGACATAGCTTGACAGAGCCTTGTCAACAAATGTGTGTTTTTCTTTTTTGTCTTATCCCAGACACTCCATGTATGCCGTATATGCTTACATGGGGTGGTTTGGGGGGTCAATGTAGGCATATATGGCAGACATGGAGTGTTTGGGTCTGTTTTGTTGAGCCGCATTTCTCTGCACCAAACCCTCTGTTCCTTTGCACCAATACGTGGGCCATGGTGTCCATGAGGGCGCGGTTATGGGGTGCTCCACCCACCAGTGCCGGGTAAGGAACACATAAACATCGCGGAGCCGTGAGGGGCATCCACTTGGACATGTTTTTTCAAACGCCGAATTTGAGGCTCTGCATTTTTATAAGAAAAACCATGCAAACTCCTGACTATAGCGCTTCCTGTTTGGGTGTCCTTTGTGGAGACCTATGAGTAGTGTGCAGGAACCCGTCCAGCCAGGCGATTCCTGACGGGAAGCAGCTGTGTTTGATCAAAGGCTGTGTGGAGTTGGGAGAAGCATCTTTGAAGGAACATGTCACCCTACCAGACCTGAGATACAAGAACACAAGAACCACCCTGGTGCGCCTCTCTGAATGGTGTTGTAAGATTCTAACTGCTAACAGGTCTCCATCAGTATAGATCGGCCTCAGCACTTTCGTTCAAGTTCGAATCCACCCTGTGAAGAAGGTAACGAAGCGAGGCTAGGGTTCCCAGTTTGCTCAGGATGCCTTGAAGAAGGGCGAAGGCATCATCAAGTTCGGCGGCGGCTTCTACTGCGGCAAGGTCGACGACATCTACGTCATCAACGGCCACTCAGACCATGGATGGCCCGGTTTTCCACCCCGTGCTTCGATCCGCGTCGGGGGTGGCGAGCTACTATGACCTCACGACCGAGCGCGGGGATGACTAATTACATTTAGTTACTAGGGGTTACGGCGACGGTTACTGTATCCCAGACACTCCATGTATGCCATATATGCCTACCTTGGGGTGGTTTGAGGGGTCAATGTAGGCATATATGGCATACATGGAGTGTCTGGGTATGTGATCTTTGTATTGCCCAGACACGACCCATGGGAGCTGCCAGGACGGACTGCCGCCCCAGACCCCCGTGGCTCCACCCCAAACTGATCAGCGACGGCAGTCCCAAACGACCTCGTGTCTGGGTTATAGTTAAGGCCCCAAGACTCGACGTTCTTTTTCGTCAAGAAGCAATGGCAGTGCGCGGAGTCATGGGACTTGGATGGTCCAAGAGTATCAACAAAGTCGTCGTTCGAGCACTGGATATCACTGGAGTCTGTGACACATAAAGAGGGAGGAGTTTGAAGTTTGAGACGGCCCGTGGACGAGGCTTTTACATGAACATGCGCTCCAAGTTCACTGCACCTGGCACCAGCATCTACTACTACGAGGCAGTTTTGAGAGCCAAAAACCGGCGTGCGTGGTGGCTTTGTGTTGGGCTTGTCCTATTACCTGTAGCAGTCAGTAAACAACGATCATGATTTTCGAACAAGGCCTCTACTAACCATCATCCACTGTTACTGGCAATATACTGGTAAATAGGATAGGCCCAAGCTCTATGTCAGTTTTCCTCAACCTCAAAAGTGTGATTGCTGGATACTGGGAGTGATTTGCTCTGGTTTTGGGTCTTGGAGCTGATGGGTCTTGCACGGGGAGCGCAGTGGGGGGAGGGCACGGGGTGTGAAACCGACCTCCGACGAATGGAACCAAGCAGGATCGATCCTTTCAAGGCCCTTCACCTGAACCAAGCAGGTTCACCTGAACACCTGGGGGTTCACCTGAACACCTGGGGGATGAGAGCGCTGAACACCTGGTTTGGTTTGGGGGAGGGTATATGAGAGTATGGGAATGGCGGACTGTCCGGCGAAAAGCTCAAGGTTGTCTGCCTCTCCATCACTTTGAAAGTGTTTAAAGCTGCCTTTTCTGGCAGACTCTTAGACCCACTGCCCCCTTTGGTTCGTATGGGATTGGTTGCTGAACCCCCTAGTTGCTCTGGTTTGGTAAAGCCTGAGCAGAAGATCTCTTCAGACAGGATTTTCTGGGCTTATTTGGGCCTTGGCTCGTCAGTTCGATGCTTCATGGCTTCACACGCCGCCAGTTTCCTGACCTGGTGCTTAGCTAGTAAGGAGGAGGAGGGAGTGAATCCGAAGGTATCTCTTACTAAAAAACCACTGGTGCTCATTCCCTCGTACCTCAGTCAGTTTCATTAGACTTGGCTATCCAACCACCTCGATGGTTGAGCATTGGCATCTTATTAAACCCTGAAAGACATCACGTGCGACAGCTGGAGGGTTTTCTTTTCCCTCTTTGGGTGACGGAGAGGGAGCCCAAACGTCACAACCTGACAGTCGCGGCACTCCACCCGGGCCGTCGGAAAAGTGTGGAACCATCGGGGCACCGGGCCGGTCGGAGCTTCGGACTGAAGTAGAGGTCTCTACGCACCCTATCTAATATATAACCTTATAATAGTAGGCAATCAAATAGGTCGATATCTATAACATTCTATAACCTTATAATAGTAGGAACTTATATGAGGTCGATTTTTTAGTGGTTCGAATTCAAGCAACCATGATGTACTGCAAAACCAGGCCAACCATCGTTTTAGGTTAGGTCTTGAAAGCCCAGTGGTTCAGTGGCTTCAGTATATTGAATAGTTGCTACTGTGGCTTCAGTCGATGCCGATGCGGAGAAAGGCGACACTTCCACCCAACACACCCAACACCACTACAAAAGCAGCAACTTTCAACCATCGTCCAGCCTGTACGTATACCATCTTCTATTCCGTACCTCCTCAGCCTGCGCTGCCGGTCTAGGTGGAGTGGCCAACGGAGAAGATGTCCTGGGCCGACTTCCGCGGCAAGTTGCTGGGCCCCACCGACCCCGCGAGCGCTCCGGAGGGCTCCCTGCGGCAGATGATCTACAGCCAGCGCCGCAGCGAGAGCAGGGGGCGGGTTGGGGCGGGTGAAAGGGCCCAACGGGGGAACCAGGACCCGACCGAACGACGTAGTTTCTGGACACCGGACGGGTGGAGTCCCACATGTGAGGTGAGGGGGTCCAGGTTTCTGGGAGATCCCGCGGTTCAAACTCCAAGGGTGAGGGGGTCCCCCTAGTAAAAACAATACCCCCATAGAAGTAGTAGAAGGAAGACGTTTAGAGCTTGGCACATTGTGGGTTGTTTGGGGTTGTTTGATGGGCGAGGTGGGGGTGGATCAATCTTGATGCGTATGTTTATGGATTTGTGACATGTATGTGTTGTGTGGGTGCTGGGCTGTGTGATGCTGTGTGTTTTGGCAAGCGTCAACAGTAGTCATCAGAATCTTAAGTGCTGATAATTTGTTGATCACTCAATTCTGTTTGACAACCCTGGTTCTGAATCACTTTAGGAATCTTGAGGGGCTTGTGAAGCAGTCCCCATGTTGGGCTCGCTGTCATGCACATGTCCCACTCCACCACCAGATCCCGGCCGTGGTGGCCTCCCCCCGAGGTGGTCGGACCTCGGCTTGAAGGCACAGCCGGACACCGGGGACAACGGCGCCCTGGTGGAAGGGTGGCGACACGTGGACGGGTGGTGGACCCACTCGAAAGGTCGTGTTGTGCCTCAACGGGCACCCGGGGCAGCCCTTGCGGTGGGCAGCAGAGGTGGAGGTTGGGAGGTTTTGGAAGCACAGGGCACCTGGCAGAAGGCAAGTTTCCTGCAGAAGGGCACGCCATGGTACGCACACCATCGCGGTCAGCAGGCGCACGACGAACACAAAGGCACCGAACCGAACACCCACCCCTTGTCAGTGTGGGAAGACTGTGCCTAAGAGGTCTCATTCTTTTTAGGATCATCCTTATCTTCCTTGACCCAAGGCTAACAAAGAGACATGTCATGTCGCCTTCATTCGCTTGGTGGCTCCTTCGCATCTGTTGAACCTTCCTCCCGCCCTGTGACCGCCACGGTTCCCGTAGTTCTTTCCAGCACCACCGAGGCGTGCATGCCTCGGCGTCGCCCTTTGAGGCGCTGGCCGAGCGCAGCAACTGGCTGCGGGCCTCCATCTCCAAGGACAGCCCATGGCGTAGGGTTTTCGATGCCTGGACAAATGGGATACCTATGGACACCTATGGGTGACCTATGAGAGGTCATAACTATTTTAAATAGGTGCCTACCTCACCTGGGGTACCCAACTGGGAGAGTCGATCTATCGGCTTCTTCAACCTCATCACCCATGGCATGGTCGCGACAGACGCGACGCCCCAACGGTGTGACTGGGAGAGTCGATCGCCCTCCACTCGGCAGCGAGAGAAGGTCCACCTCGCAGCGGCCGTGGACCGGACGTTTCGACCGACGTCGGACCCCCCCGACACGAAGGGTCCCAGGGACCGAAGAGTTCAGCGCCGCGGGACCGAAGAGGATGGTGGGTAAAGACTAGCCCATAACCTTCCTGGCCCACCATTCATAGGCAGGTCATCCCGAATCAACTAAGGGTTTTACACTACAAAAACACAGGTCAAAGCCGTTTTTTAATGGTCTTGGAAGTCTAGGGCTTGCTTTTGCTCAGGAGGGAGAATAAGGAGCCAGCGGTATCCATATTTCCCCAGCTCACACGGGAGTTCTCCTTGCGCCCTTCAGTCTGACAGTGAACACCACTGAGCCAGACCTGAATGAGGTCGCGACGGCATGTCTCATGAAGATGTCCGCTCGTGTGTTGGACGTTGGACAGGGAACGTTGGACAGGTGGCTGTTCACGAAGCCAGCGTTTGGCGCGCTCATGCCGAGGGCCCCGGAGTCATTGGGCCCGCATTTTCGCATCCACCTCACAACATACAGTGGTTTCAGAGTAGATGGCACAGACCCCAAGATGTCTTTTAGATGGGGTCCATATAAACCACCGACATTGGGGTCTGTGCCATGTACTCTGAATCCACTATAATTATTTGGCTGTGGGTCAAAGCCCGGGGGACCTTGGTTGACCACTGAACATAGAATAGATTATATACCAGACATGGTCAACCTACCAGGGTGCCAGGAGCTGGTTTTGATCCACTGCCCTGCCCAGGATGGCTGGCTTGTGAGATCTTGAAAACATATAGGAAATGGATGGAAATGGCCTCCAGTCCTGGAGGAGTTCCATTGTAGACTTGTAGACCTGCTTGGCTCCTGGGGTTCCACCCCACTTCTCATCCTTTTTCTTCCATCGCAGCTGGAGAGCCTGGGTTTTGCCAGATGGGTCCACCGACCGGCCGGGTAGCTCCTAATCTCCGAAAACGTCGTTTTGGCTTGAAGGTGCAGGTCCATGAGTCGATGAAACGACTCGGCTTGTGGAAACGACTCGGTGAAATATGTCAATGACATGGTTTTGCTTAGAAGGTTTTTTCCCCCCCTATGGGTGGATCCCCTTCTGCCAGTGGCCCTCAAAACCATGAACAATAGAGGTTTTCACACACATATATAGTAATATAAATCATGCTCATACCATGCGCTTTTTGCTGGGAAACAGCCAAGAAACATTTTTGCCGCGGAACCAGACGAGCGAGGACGCCTTCGGGAAAGCGCTCTTGGCCAGCGGCGTGGCACCTGGTATGGCCAAGGACAGCGGATTGGGCGTTGTTTCATGAAGAAACACCAGCAACACACGAAGGGATCCACGAAGATGACATATATAGACTGTTTGAACCCATTGGACCTCTGTTTTGACAGGGAAAAGACCATGAAAAGTTGAAATGATCCTATTTTTGGTGGTTGGACGTACTTACATATAATATATATATATATAGACCTAATGTAGACTCTTGATTAATACACACCCCATATGAAGAGCATGTCCAATTCAAATGGGAGGGTTATGAATCAAGAGTCTACATTAGAACCCATTGGACCTCTGTTTTGACAGGAACAAGACCATGAAACGACCCTATGTTGGGTGGTTGGTGGTCCAAAAAAAAGAGGTCACTCAGGTTCTAGGGATACCATAGAATACCTGGAGCATGCAGGAGCCCTGACCACATCCTCAGCTTTTGGTCGTTCAGGGGGCTTACTTAAGGAAGTTTGGAGAACGTTGAATCTAATCAAGAGACCTCTTAACTTAACATCAAGAGGACCAAGACAAACACCTAACATACCTCAACTATCGCAACATGTCTTAAACATGACGACCCAGTTGATGACCCCTACGGGCTCCAAGTACCTCTTCTTAAGGTATGACTGGACCCTCCTGGCGCCCAGCCCAGTCCCACCAAACCTCAGAAGGTACGACTAGAGTTCGAGCGGGATCAGATTACAAGGACAGACCAATTTCCAATGTCTTCCCCCCCCAAAAATGATAGACATGGTTTCCACATGTTTCCCATTTGCATGAGTCATATCTAGTTGTCATTACTTTTTCTATCTGTTTGGAGGGTCTGAAGATCTCATTTGACCAACCCAGTCGTCTTCCCCGGCGCCACAGCTCGACCGACCGGGTGGATTAGGAGTGGTTCAGCGACCCACAGGTGGAGTTTGAAGGCAAGGGAAGACACGGAGGGTCACGCGGGTCAAAACGCCCCACAGGGAGGGGGAAGATGGGGGAAGAGGAGGCATATGCCAGGAGTCACAAAGGGGTGGTGTTTGGTCCCTAAGTAAGTGGATAATGGGCACCCCTAACCTCCATTAAGCACACCTTTGTGACTGCTGGTGGGGGGATTTGGGGAGCTGGTTCATCAACATGCCGTCCGAGGAGTCGGGCTGTGCATGCGGTGCAAGATCATGTTGCATTGATCAATATTTGGATTAATTATGCTTTATACTTTACGGGTGAGAATAGTGAGACATAGTGAGACAGCCCCATTTTGTGCTCTTTCCAAGGGTGGGAGGAGACAGACTCCCATTTCACATCAACAACTTGCTGATCTTGGGATGAGAGCTGAAATCAAACACCTGTGATTCTGGGATTGCTTCGACAAAAGTGTGTGCTTTTAGGCAAGTGATGGAAATGCGTTGACAGGTAGTTTGACAGGTGTATTTCTCAGACTCCGGGGATTTTTGGCTGAAGCAAAAGCAGCGAAGAAGGGTCGTCCCCGCTGCGAAGAAGGCTCATGCCATGTCCAAAGGCCCTAAGTCACTACAAAGTCGTCCCCAGATTGCGCGAATGGTTCAAAATGGGTGACCTCCCCAGCTGGTGTTGTCGTCCAACACCCCTCAACTGATTTCAAAACCACCAAGTGATTTCGGAAGTGCAAGGAGAAATAAGGAGAACCCTTTCAAGAAGCGATATGTTTGGAAAGAAAACATGGAGCAACTCAGATCAGATTGTCGAATGAACCAGGCCTACCAGGTGTGCGACCGCTGCAAGAAGCCCGGACCCCTTCTGGCCATCCCAGACCTGGCCCGACAGAGGCGGCAAGAAGTCCTTGTTCGATCTCCTGGAGGATTTGGACGCGCCTGCGTGCCTGAAGAAGTGCAAGGACCCACATGAAGATCATGAAGATTAGAAACGCAGAACCCAGACACTCCATGGGACTGCCATATATGCCGATCAATTGACCCCACCCCAATTGATCAGCACATACGGCAGTCCCAGGTCCGGGTCGTGTTGAATATCAACCCCTCTAGCCTTCCTGGCCCACCATGGATTTAGGGGTTTGAATTCCGAACCAACCTATTAGCAGCAGCACCGTTTTCCCGTTCGGGATCCACTGCCACCGGGATCCGACCTGGTTCGGTACGACTGGGCCCGACTGGTGGGCGCCAATCAATAGTATCAGTCTCCAGCCTCACGTACTTGGATCCATATAGGGCTTATGCTCAACTCAGGATTTTAGACTTCAACACCGGGTCAAACCATGTCTTCCCTTGGTGGTCGAACGGCAGACGCGAACGGTTTCAGGAGATCGCTGCGGCGAACAAGAAGTGAGAGACAGCGGCTATAGCACCTGGAGGTCAATGAACATGCCAGTGACAGACTTCGTGGATCACCATGATCCTGCGTGCCTGCCACTGGCTAGCTACACCTGGACTGAAATTGTTGTTTTGTGAACCTGGAAGGCGGCTGTTTGTCAAGAACAGATCGCACATGCTGCATGTGCTCTAGGCATTTCTGAGCATGTGCTTTCTTCAGGCTCATGTGGAAGGTCACGAAGGCCTGTGATCAAAAAACACAACAACATGCAAGCTGCTGCAAGCATCATGAAGCATCCAGTGCTTGAGCGTTGTGGTTTGGAGAAATTGTTGGGGGTTATTTTATTAAATATGTTGTATGCATTATTTAAGGATCGATATTTAAGCCAAGTAAAAAGTATTATACAATTATGTATATATAGTACTCTATATGATATTGCATTCCTGCAAACGGAACAGTGTTCCTTTGGCATCGATGGAAGGAACACGTACACAACTTCAATGTTTTGGATCCAGGTGCATGTTTGTTCCTGTGCTCAAGCTCGCTTTTCGAGTTTCGTTTTGGGAGGTCATCACCTTCCGCCACCATGACCTGTTTGTCCGACTGTTTGGAATTTGGTCCGACTAGTCCCTGCATGGTCTGATGGTGCGTGGTTTTGCCATGACCGAAGCAATATAGTATAGCTGGTGCTCAGGAAGGCTAAGGAGCCTCAGGCTCAGGAAGGCTGAGGAGCCGGGTGTCTCCGTCATTTCCCATGCAACGACGGGAGCCGGAACCTCTCCGAGCGACCACAGGTTCGTGCATGGTCCTCGCGCTATGCCGCTAGGCCCCGACACGACCCATGGAAAGCGGGGGTGGGGGATGGTTTCGGGGGTTCAGGTTGTTATAGCCCGAGGGCTCCTGGCCCATATCCTCAGGTTCGGTGCTTAGACCCCCAAAACCCACCCCAACCACCGAACCTCAGGAGGTGGGCCAAGAGCCCTAGGGTAGTCATATTACATGTCGTCAGCCGACACTCCATGTATGGCATACATCATATGCCTATCATTGCCCCCTGAAACCACCCCAATGAATATAAACTAGGAGCATCCAGGAGTCACAAAGGAGTGGTCTTCTCCCTACCAGGTGAGTGGAGAATGGCACCCCTACTGGTAACCTCCATTAAGCACCCCTTGGTGACTGCTGGAATGTTCTAGTCCGCATGGAGTGTTTGGGACAGATGGAGTGTTCCAGTTCTTGACCTTTCTCGTCCGGTTCTTGAAGGGATCCTCAAACCGGATCCATGGGACAGCCGTCCACACTGGCCGCCACATGACTGGTGGTCCACTTGCGGGGGTTTTCATCGGTCGGTCAGAGGACCTGCCGTCCCACGGATCTGGGAACGGGTGTCCTTCGCGCGGCTCGTCGCCTGTTTAGTCGTTTGAGGTGACGTTTCAGCTCGGGCCCAATCAGTTCGACGAGGCGATTTCGCCCCATTTGGTATCCCACCCGATCTGCGAGCAATTCGAGCACAAAAGAGGCGGAAAACAGTCTCCGCCACTTAAACGCTGTTGATGGAGTCTGAAACTTGACACGTTGCTCAGATGTAGCTCAGAAAAGAAGACCCGGGGCACCCAGAGCCATTGCCAAGGATAGCCACAGTCTGTGTCTGGAAACCCCACCGGTTTTGTGGGGATCTAAGCTAGGTGGAGTGGACATGTGTTCCAGTGAGAACTCCGGGCTTACTGAGTTGGGGAGGAGCACAGGTGCAGGGGATGGCCAATCGAAGCGGTACGCGACCATTGATCACATGCACGAGAACTATTATTGTAGTCAGCACAACAAGGACCCTAGTCTTCCAAGACCACCAAAAGAAGGGAAGTTGACCTGATTTCTTAGCGTAACATTTAAAGTTAAAGCACTGGTTGCTCGGCAAAAACACATCAAATATGAAGATGGTCCAGGAAGATGTTGGAAACCGAGAAACCTGAAGTTTTGCCAGGAAGATGTCATCAGCCGATGTTGGAGAAGTTGTGCTTGAGGAACTGAACTCAAGAGATCAGGTCCATCAACAGTATCTTTGAACTCATTTTATCATGAGCACCGAGACTACCGACGGTGCAGCGTCTTCTGCAGCACGTTGAAGCGGCAGAAAAAGTCCGCGGACCGGACGGTGCTGCCGGGGGTGCGGCGCTGGCGTGGTGGGGGACCTGGGCGGTTTGCTTGGAATTTGCTCAAGTGGAGCATGAAAAACGGATGCTGACCTATACCAGGACCATTTATAGCTAGCCCCTAACAGCCTGTGATTCGGGGTGTCCAATAACCACTCCAACTGGGGGTCCTGGTATGTTGACCTGGTCATCTCAAATCCTTTTTAAACCATTTGTTGCCTGGACTCTTAGGGTTTCAATATTCCTCCTTGTAGTTAAGCCCCTGGACCCAGTTGTTCAACGGAACAGACCGAGGGGTGCCGTTATTGGGGTTCGGATGGGGGGGGTCCTGAAGTGGATGGCTCGCACGCATCAGCTGAAAAAAATGGTCCACATGACATTTGACTGATTTGAGGTGGCTGCCCCCCACACCCCCTGGAGGCTGCGCAGGTAGCTCGAGTGGATTGAGATCAGAATCCGGGGCGTGGTCGAGGAGTGATATGATTCCATGCGGTTCGATCGTGGGATTCGCACAAGATGCACCGTTGAAGGAGGTTTTTGCAGGGCTAAGGCTATATGTTTTTTTTTTTTTGTGTGTGTGTGTGTGTTTCTTGTTGAATACCTAGCACTTCGAACTTCCTGTCCGGGTGCCCTGTCTGGAGGCCTGTAAGTCATAGCTAGTCGAACGCCACCCAGGTCCAGGATGACCCTGGTAGGTTTGGATCCGCCAGGCATCGGAGAGCCAAATGGCACTGCCCCGCCAGGGGATCCCACCGTCCGACCCGATGAGAGCGTCACACAAATCCAACCGTTCGACCTAAGGAGGGGTTGGACCCTCAAGGAAACAGCCTGGCCAGGAGGGTGTTGTCGTATGATCCTATGATCTATTGATATCTATTGTATATGAACTAATGGCAGTTACTCATTTTGGTTGGTTGAGTCTTTCCTGGGGTCAACTCATCTTCAACTTGTTGGAGGGTATAGATTCGATTTTGTGCCGATGACTCCCCAACTTTGTCCAATCATGGAAATTTATCACTTCTCTTGGGGGTTACCTCGTCAGACGAGATTCAACATGGTCTTGGACTCCAATAATTCTGCAGATTGCAACCCTAGATAACTATAGACTATAGGTATAGGTCGGTTGATGAAGAGAGTGGATACCCCCCCAAGTGCACAATCCACAACAGAATGTGATGCATACCAAATGGATCCCCCTATTCTTTGTCCATTCATTTGGCCATTTCGCACCCCGAGTTGCACTCCATTTGCCCTGCTGGTGCATCCAACGCGGAGTACTTCCCTCCACACCCAACCGAGTTCCACGGAAGTGGGGTCGGACCCCGGTCGTCCAGGCCGCCACGGAACGCGGAAGTGGAGCCCTGGCGAGACGGGCCGCGAGCTTCCGCCCATACATGGGGAGTGGTTGGAGGGGCATGTACATTCCACTGGTATGGAGCGTTGGCGTATGCATGCCACCGTTGTTCGATGGGTGAATGTTGCGACGACATGGCGACGACATGGTTTTCATCCATTAATTTCAACCAAGTCTGGTGAATCCCTATAGGGATCCAAGTACCTTCTCAGAAGGTGATTGGAGGCACTGTTATATACTGTATGTAGGTTTGGAGGGTCCAAGTACCTTCTGAGAAGGTACTTGAATCCCTAGGGAATGTGATGCATATGCACCAGCAGTGCAAAAGGAGGGCTCGTGGAGTAGCTGGGCATCCCGACCTTGCTCCATGGCTAGCAGCACCCAACTCCATGACTCCATGGAATTGCCAGGATTATCGCTACCTTTCCCATCCTGTCCCCAAATATAGAGCTCCGTGGCACGGCGTCCAATTACCATTTTAGTGGGGGATCTATACTTGTCTATCTATCCTTAGCTGGGGGTCTCCATTCGCTGGGGTCAGATACCGGTGCCGAGCTGTTCAACTTGCGACCGGCAGAGTTCGGAGCACGTTTTCCATGGAGAAGATGCTGGACATGCGACAGAGGAAGGGTCTATTGACCCTGCCATTTTTTTGACCCGACTTCCATGATCGATTGTGTTCAAGAGAGCAGATCCACAGATTTCCTCAAAACATGGCCTTGCTTGTTTCCACTCACCAGCCTGAAACAACATGAAACAAATCATTCAAGGGGGGGAACGGACACCAACCCCACCTTTCTGTCAGCTCATGTCCAACTCACCAACCTTCAATGTTGGCTCCGCTCGGGCGCCTGGTGGTGATTGACCGTACCTAGGATGGGGTGGACTACCATTTCGTCCCCCGCGACCAGATGGAGCAGATGATCTCCGAAGGCGTCGAGCTATGATCTCCGTACTTCGGTTTCTCCCGTTTAAAACCTCGGTCGCTCGAGGTTTAGGGTGTTGGAATGTGGGTTTCGGTCGGTCTGAGGGAGGATGTGAATGTGATGCTTTCTGTGCAGGACCGGGGAAGTTCACAACTTCAAGGTGGCAAAAGGCCAGGAGCATCCTGGACCTGGCTAGAAGGGCCCCAGCCCACTACTATCTGGGATCTCCAGACAGGACACCCTGCAGACAGGATGGTCCAGGTAGCCAACCTCAGGCCCTCCCTCCCAAACCCGCCATCCGGTCGCTTGCCTCAGAACTCTACAGCCACCAAACCGAACTGGTTCAACCCCCAAAGATCCCCAAAGACATCCAAAGACCATTTTCAGGCAATGTCCTATACCCAAACACTGTCACTCCATTGTTGCCTACATTGGGGTGGTTTCACGAAGCCAATTTTTGGGACCTCTCAATGCAAAGGAAATTCAATGCAATTCATTTGTGGGTCACCTAGCCACCACTTTCCTAAATAGTCCTGCACTTCCAGTGTATATATATATAACTATATACACATTCCAGGAGCCTCCAAGGGGTGTCTATTCATAGCCTCTTAATTAGAGGTTCAGGGTGTCCAGGAACCACCTGTTGAAAGGTCCTGGTATATATAGCCCAGTTGACATAAGCATTGACATCTATTATTAAATAGTGGTTTCAGAATAGATGGCACAATCCCCAAAAGGTGGTTT